CATGGCGCCGATAGGCGGGAGAATCAAGAGCCTCAATTGCGCTGAGAGCTAAACTAGAAAACATACTCAGGACTTCTTTCTCCATTCAGTTCTTCATTCGATGTCGTGCCGCGCAGCTGCGTCGATCACCGTCTCAAACACTCATTTAATTGGATGTTCTTGCACTTTTTTCACCACGCTGTCGCAGTACTGTGACGGGAACGATTCCGCGTCCGCGTGACAGCTTCACCGCAGGAAACTCTGAAACGTCTTACGTGTCGAGCATCAGAATTGGGGGAATAATGAACCAAAAGGGGGATAGGGGGTCCTCGGCCGAAGAATCGGGGAGTAGCCGCAGTGCTGCCACTCGGAGGGGACACTCCAACGGTAGCGGAATATAGTTCCGTGAATACCTATGTATGAAAGTCTCCGCCGTATCCGCAGGTGGTGTTGAGTGAGTCTATCCGCAGCCTCGGAAATTCCAGCTCTTTTTTATAGATTCGGGGTCCAGCAAGAGTAGATGCGAATTCTCAAGACTTAGACAATCGGAGGAAGTGTTCCATCGCTGATCATCGTAGTTCTGCTCGTATTAGCTCATGGCTGACCATGAACATCCGAGGTATTTTGAGAAAATTACGTTTCTGTGAATATTTTCTGTGCTCCGTCAGCACAGTTGGAATCGAAAGCGCTCGTTCCGAATCTCGTCCATACGAACGTCAGACTGTTCAGCGACAAGATGTGGACAACAAAATAATCGTATCATAACGCGTTCAACCTTCGAATGCCAACTACGGACTGTCTCGTCGACTTTCCCCTCGCCCCTGTCATTCCTCGTTATCTGCTGACGAGAGCAGTTGCACGAGCCGCTAATAATACGACGACGACCTACGGGCCTGACGAACTGTCGGGCCAAGTGGTCCGTGGACTCCATGGAAAACAAGGTTTCTCTTCTGGCTCTCGTCTGGGCATCCCAATTACCGCCAACCGCAAGGATATTCGTAGGTTGGAGAGCGACGAACCTCAACACGACGTGAAATCGTCGCTTGTCATCCAACTGTCAAGCAAAGCAGATGACGGATCCGTGATTGATTTACTCGCGCTTACGGTACTCGTCCACGACTCGCGGACGGAAACAAGAGGAAAATATAACTGGAATCATATCAGATTGTCAGTATTTCCTATGAGTGAGCCGTCGGGTCGAGCTCAGTTGCTCGACTCGTGCTCGGATCGCCCTCATTGGCGCTCCATCCGGGGAAAAGAATGCGGCTCTCCGATGGCCGAAACGGTGTCGGTCTCTTCACGTGGATTCAGGCTCAGGATTTCTGACGGTGTTCGTTGTGCGATCCTCCGAGTTTGATACAACTACCCCGTTGAACTCGGAAGCATGAAGCATATTCGCGAGTCCCACAAACCGCTAGGAGACACGACCGGCAAGTTTTCTGCCTAATTGCCTAGTAGTTCCAATTTCAGTTTTTGTTCTTATCCCAGCGGGCGTCAGCGGCGTCCTCCTTCGGAATATCGCGGGTCTGACAATTCATGAATCGATACGTAGATGATGGATAGATGATGTTTGAATCTCTAAGCTCCTGATGAATGGGGCAGCAGAGGCCGTCCATCGTGATTCTCGGTGTATTCGGGAAAGAGGACATTCGTTTGACACCGACTCAGCGCTGGAAATTTCGAATAGGACGCGGATCACAATTATTGTGCCAGGCGGAAATTCATTAAAGCGTCCAAGTCTGCATCGTCGACCCAGATAGGATCGCGAGCTGCGGAAAGGCTGTCGAACCAAAGCTTCGGCCTATGTAGTGGAAGAGAAACCACGCGAGTAGGTGGAGCGTTCGCGTATGCGTAAAACCTAGAGCTACCGTTTCCAACATTTTCCGTACTTCTTATCGTGGCCACACGATTATTTTTAGCTGGCGCTCAATTCCGATCACAGCTGAGATACCTACTATGATAGCATGGCACGCCGTGTTGAGGGCAGCCTATGCTAAATACCTACATATACTTAGGATTCGAGTTTTCCTCGATTGGTTGTATGAGGTTGAGCGGATCGGTGAGAAGTCTAGATAGATCAGCTTGCCTCGGGATCCAACGACCTTCTAATGATTGGACGAGCCTGGATGTTGATAGGCACCGTTTTGTTCTGTCCCTTAACGGAAAAACAAGAGGGACAACAGTCAACATCTACTGTTCACGGCAGCGAGCGAAATCATGAACAGAAGCTCGGCTGATCACAGCCATCGATAAATACGAAGAAGCATTGAACGATGCGGTATCGGCCCATCCAATAACTCAATCAGATCTCGAACGAAACTCTGCGACGGACGATTATTATTGTACGAACATCCGTGCCTCGTCTTCGATTAGATGGACTGATATTAACAAAGCATCCGAGTCTTCCCCGTGACTCCGGGACCTCATATTCAGTCCTCAGTCTCTACGATTTCATTCCTGGCTTTTTCCACATCCCGAAGAAACTGTTCCGCTTGGATATCGAACCCCTTTGTCTCCGAAGCTAGAAAATATTGCCAGTTGGCTCCTGATGTAAGCAGAGGTTTGACAGTCAAGCTCTGGTGTGAACATTAAGCTTCGAGGGTTCTTGAAATCGCAGGCGAAACCGGTGGTTTTCCTCAGAAAGCTCGTCACCCGCTAAGAAGCACTTCACGAGGTTCACCGGAGCCTCACAAGGGGGCGCCACATCCACAACTTCGGTCGTTCATTGCGACTTCCTCTCTTGAAGTATCTGATCGACATTCTATGCGTTCCGCGCGACTTTCGTATCGTCGAGGAGCATTCCGGAAAGCGAGTCCTTCCAGATGGAGGTCACTAGCGAGAGTCTCAATTATTCATCGAATATTGTCGTACGTGGGTACGTCAAGCGTGGGTTTATCGGCGAGTCTTTGAAAGATACTGCGCTTAGAACTTGGACTCGCCGACCGCCGCTTTTTTCGAGGAACAGGCCGCGAGAAAAGTTCGGGAACTCCATTGCGTTTCTCCAGATCTCTCGAGCAGGAGCGGATCCCGAGTGCTCTTGTGGATTCGTCTCCCTGTTGCGGTCAGCTGTCCTTAAAGTTTCTCCTCGGAGAAATGAAAGCCCCGAAGAACATCCCGTTTTCAGATAAGCTATCGGGCTCCGCCTCGGCGATCCGCGTCTACAGCCGCAGGAGTGCGAAAAAACTTCGTGCATCACAGACTGCGTAGTAAATCTCGATGCGTAGTGTTAAACCCGGTATGCTCTTCTGCCAACCGTAATCGAAAGCGGCACTATCTATTTGCTCCTGGAATCCTCGGGGAGTTCGTAATTCAGCTCGTTCCGGATCACATCTTCGATCCAGCGTTTTTGCGGGAATTCCGTGACGTTTCGAGGTGAGGCATAGGTCAAGTAAGGTCAGAAATGTCGTTCGGGGTGAGATAAGAAGGAGTAAGGCGCTCTACTCGACGCGAAAAATATCCTCGGAACTCAGTTCGAGGATTTGATTAGCGCATTCGCGCTTAATAAGAGGGAAATGAATTGAAAATCGATGAGCGGTCCTCTCCGGCTTCCAAGGGGTGCTTCGAGAGCCGTTTGTTTCGCAGGCAACGAGGCAAGGCCCATCCACCCCTTGATCCTCTGAAATCATGCGCCACCACCAACACCCACTCATTTGGACAGCCTGGCTCCGGGCAGCCTCTCGTTCGGCCTCGGCGTTGTCATCGTCGTCGTTCCCTCGTAGAGGCTAATGAGAAACCGATACAGAGTAACGGAGCGTGAATGCTCCGAGTCTCCGGCGAGAATGACTCCGACAGGCACCCTGCTTCGACGCCCCCTCATCATCACCACCATGACGATGGTGATGACGACGATCATCACCATCTTCATTTCAAGCTCTCGAAATTCACACTCAACCAGATCTCTGACGCAACCCTCTGCGTCGCAAACCGGAGAACGCCAGTTACATTTGGAAAATGACAGACCGAACGAGTCAGTCGGGCGCCGGAAACAACGTGCTGCTCATCATCGAAACCCTCGTGAGCGATCGATCGGTTCGCTCGCCAATATTCTCCTCCAACCTCGATGAAGCGCCCTCCCGCATAAAACGCCTCTCCGCATTACCCGGGACTTTCTCCAGAGCTCTTTCGATCGGTTCCCCGAAAGTCAGTCAGAGAGAGGCAACCTAATTCGAATGAACTTCTTTTCGCATATCGTTTCGTCGGCTCAAAACCTCGCGTCTGAATTAAGGAGAACGTTGAGGTACTGTGGCCGATGGCATGGGTTAGCTGAGAAATTTCGCTTCTCTGCTGAGAGATATTCGCATCGATCCCATAACACCGAACCCACCTGGAGAATTCGGGACATTCTCGTGGAATATGGGTTAGCTCAAAAAGTATATTTGAGGTGTCCGAAATTTCTCGCGATCCGGTGTCAAGTCCATTTAGTGCGGAACGCGAGCTCAGGCTGTTCGCTCTAGCGGTTAACCTTCCCGATCCCGATCGTTCTGAGATACTTTGATCGTAAAGCGAAGATTCCTCGAAAAGAAATTCTACTGGAAGTGCTACTTGCTGCCGCCGCTGTGAGCACTAGTGACAGTCCGGCTGCAGCCGTCGGCTGAGCAGCTTTCGATGCTCTTGTGCAGCCGACCAGGGCGATGCTTGGCGCTGGTAGAGCCGCCACCAGCACGACAGTCTGAGCCGTGGCAGCACCGGCTGCCATGGCAGCAGTAGCAGCAGGAGTTGCAGCGTAGTGCTTGTTGGTTGGGTCGAGCTTCAGGTCCCGCCTCCGGCGCATGCGCCTCCCAAGTCCCTCTCTGAGCGAACGCCCGCCCAACTCCGCCCTCAAGCATGAGCCCGACTGAACACAATGGTAGCAGTTTTGTGAGCGCGCCTCACAGATAAGGCACGCTAGATTCTTGAGCCAGCTACAAGCAACAAACCCCGTATGAAACAGTGAGAGTACTCGGGGCTAAAGTACCACCAAATCCGCGATTTCTGTGACCGCTGTGCGACCGATACTTGCAAAGTGACTACGATTGACGTCGCCGACTTCGTCTACTTCTGTGACTTCTGCTGACGCCGCCGTCATCGCCAGTACTCGTAGCTTATTGTTAGTCGCCGATTGTTGTTATTGTTCGCGTTCGGAAACTCCGGCCACTCGGTACTCGTGTGAAGTTGATGGATATTATGTTTTATGTGCTCGATCTCTCAGGATTGCTCAGTTAATCCGCCGTCGAACTAGCGGCGTCAACGAAGCGGCAGAATCGCTGCGAAATAATAGCGGTAAGCATCTAGGTAATCTCTTATCATTCCTAGATAAGGATCCTATCTGTCGCTCCATCCGCGGGCGCAATCCCAATCTCACTCTGAGGGCCCGGGACATTGTTGCGGTATTGCAACCGCGAGGGCAGCTCTGATCTTTGTGGAGCGGCTCGAGTTGACGTTCGAGAAACTCATTTTCTGCTCGCTCAGTTTTGTTCGCCTCAGAAGTCTCAATTCGTGGAGAATCAATGTCTCGGATTCTCGTCCTCTTTTTTCGAGTAGATTATCCAGTCTGGAAAGCCGAAATTTCATGCCGTGCCACTCAACACTCAACATAACGTGCGGGACGTATCCTCGGCCCTGTTCCGTACGAATTCACTAAAGACGCACTTGAAGCCGATTCGCTTTGGCGTGCGTATAAATTTAGATGTCAGGGAAAGAGATGAGAGAGCGATCAAAGGGCGAGCGAGCTTGAGCTCGACATACTGGGTCCTGTCTTGTCCGAGAGCAGCCTCCTACCTCCGAGCTATGTGTCACTTACATAGCGACCGAGTATTCAATCGCTTTCGAACGCGCGATTGATGACATCCATACGAAACGGTAGCGTCACGACCTCGCTCATCGTGAGTCTCCCGGACGAGAAGAACCTCAACGTGCATTGCTCGTCGAGATCCGCGACGTCAGTCCCACGTCCGCGTGAACTCACTATCAACCCCCTCGAACCTCGCGAAGTCATGCGGTCGAACACGTTTCACTTTTCTCTAACGCAAATCCAGTGCGGTGAAGTCTGCCTCTTGACTTGACTTCCGCCCAGCAGTCATCGATTGGGACCACGTCGGCAATCCTCTGTCGCCAATGAATCCCCCGTTGCCCGCGAATGTTTTCGTCTCCTTCAGAAGGTTTCCCGTGATGTCTTTTGAAGTACAGAGCGATGCTTTGTTTCGGAGGCGGCGGCGACAGAGACACTTAGATTCGACGAGGGGCTTCCGATCGTCTATCAATCAATCCCAGCCTGTCCATAGATCTATCAATTCAACTCTCCAGTGATCTGCTTTCCTACATGTACATCTGGGAGTCAGCACACACTGGCGTCGGAAGGTCGCGAGCACGGTCGTCTTTTGAAATCCGAGAACCGCATGCTCTCGATTCTCTCGTTCATTGCTCGGTCGGGCTGCTGGCGGTCGCTCGGGCAGGCAGGCAGGCAGGCAGACGGGCCAGCTAGCGAGAGTAGACAAACAGGCGGACATAAAGGAAAGCAGTCTTCAGACAGAGCACTCTTTACGAACAAACAAGGGCGCTAACCCATTAGCCCCTACAATAGACCAGCGTCATAGGATCTGAACGAGAGAGGCTAAGCGTACAATACAGACGTTTGCTTGAACATGTGCGATGCCGAGACTAAACGATATTTGTTTATTTGTTGATGATAATCAGCGAGACGACACCAATCCGGGCGCGAATTCTTCCGTCGCCAGCACCCTATCGGATTGCCCAGCGACACCCTCGACCGGCTTGGACAGACCGCAACCTCTCGACGCCTTGGGTCGGCCACTTGACTGAATTACGATTCGAGGTCAGAGTCTCGAGTCCGATTCGAGGGCCGGAGTTTTCCCTCCCCGCGTATGGTGCGAACATCTCCATCCGGAGACGAGACCCGAGTTCCGTAATTTCTCGGCGCTGCGCTGCAGACGTCAACCTCGGTCGGCCCATCCGTACCATCATGGGGAACCACGAAAATCCAGTCGGTCATCTCTCTCTGCATTATGTTCATGGTGTCGGCACCGCCTCCTTGACGTGCGTCGCTGTCCTCACTGAGACGGTTCCTGCTCCTGCCCTCGAGCTTGCTCCGGGGAACAGGCGCTTTCATATCGGCGGTGGACTCTCTGTGAGCAGATTCAGCTCAAAAAGGGAGTGAGCTCTCAAAGCTCTGGGATTCAGGCATTTTGAAACGGAGTGGCTGAGCGCATGCAGGGAAGAAGTTCTCATATCTGGTTCCTGGGAGATTCCAATGAGCGAGATGAGCGAGAAATATCCCACAACGAGTGAGAGAAATGAGGACGCTCGGAGAGAATTAGCTGCGCCGCGCAATAAGACTTGGTATCGGTGTCGTTCCACCTGCATTCTCCGATGTCCAGATATACTGCCATGCAGTCTCCTGTCGGAATTGGGAATTTCGCGGGATATTTCTCCGACGCCCTCATGAGGACTCTTTCGTTCGAGATTGTCTTCTCACGAGATTGGAAGCACGGAGTATGAGATCGGCAGCGAGAAAATCGCCAGGCTCAAAACGAGAGAAGAGACGAGCCGACTTGTCGGAACGGTGTCGCACGTCGAGATCATATCTCTCATACAGAGTCCGGCGCAGCGAGGAGCCGCGGTACGGTCGCTCGAGCACCAATTCCGTGAGATCATTCTGTGGGGAATGCAATTTTTTTCAAAGCTCACAACTAATGTACGAATGTTTGTGATTACATCAAACAAACGAGAATGCAATTGAAAATGGAGTCATAATACAAACGTCCTGCTCCCGGCAACACTGCTGTGGCCGGCGTCATCGTGTTCAAGACAACCTCTTCTCATTTTCCTCCGAGATCTCCCATTAAGACAAGCCAGCGACTCGCTGGTCAGTCCTTGGGCTCAGCGTCGCCGCTAGCGCGGACGGGGACCGCGATTTGTGTCTGAGATTCGTTTAGAGAAGAAAAAAACGTTCAAAAAAATAAATAAGAATAATGTTGAACAAACATGGTCCGTAAATGGAAAGGCACTTAATGAACGGAAGGAAGACTGACTGACCGAATGAATGAACGAACCGGAGTGGAAACTCGCGGCGGCGGAATGAAAAATTCGTCGGAGTCGTCGCAGTTGACGCAAACAAGTTCGCTTCGTGTACGCTCACGGTTGCCGCCACTGCCGCTTATAATTCTTACGTCGTCGTCGTTTCTGTTCAACTCCTGCCCTGCCGGAGTCGACGAGGCGACGGTGGCGGCGGCTGCGGCCGGAACGGTCGTCTGAGAGTTTTAGAAGTTTGGACGCGAACCCCGCCCAACGGAACGACAAAGATGACGACGACGTTTGGAAGTCGCTGTCTCGTTTTCGCGTGAAATGCCGTCGTCCAATTATTATTCGTATGATGCGAGGCTTGAATGACTAATGACGGCGACACAGACAAGGAATAACCAAACGCAGCACCTCGAACAGGAGGGAGAGTCTGCCCGAGCGTTTGATCTGCCGGGCTGGGTCGCTGTCCCCGAACTCGTGGTGGCGGTGGAAGGACACGTCGAGGAGAATATCGCTAGAATGACAGATTCACTTGCCACAGCAGAAGCATTCACCCGGTGGACAATGATTTTGTCTGACAATGATCTGATCACCTGAGCGGCGTCTCATCAAGAACGTCGTCAGCAGAATGACCGACCAAGACGGTCGGTCGTCGACGAGCGTGCCACGTTGTGCACCAGGCATGCGTGACCCGGCTCAATTGCGCAATGCACCTGATCGTCCTCTCGTGCTCCCCTCCTCCGCCGTCTTGTTCCCCCTTCCTCACTCACCCACTCACGCTCTCAGAAGTGGATGCGTGCGCGTGTGCGTGCGTGCCTGCCCACTGGGTTCTACTTGTCACGGCTGCTGCACGTAGACGACGGGCTTTCCAGCCTCTCTGCTCTTGCGGTCGGCTGTTGTGGACGACGGTGCTGCTGTCCGCAACACAGGGTCCACGCTCAACGATATTGCCCCGATCACGGCGATGAGAACTTTAGATGGTTTTGAGAGAGTGTGAGTTTATCTATTCGCGTGCCTCATTTCTGTGTATCTCTGTCTGGATACGCGGTTCTTCTCCGCGAGCCGTTGACGTCGCTCGGAGCAAGTCATCGTGTAGCGTTGTCGTCATTGGCGTCTTCCAAGTTCGTCGATTGCGACTTCGTTGAAATCGTAAATCTCATGACTTTACAGCAGCAGCAGTGCTCTTCTATTCTATTGCTGAGCCGAGTTCGACGTCGTAGGACACATATGCCACCGTGGCTTGCCTGTACCGTCGAAAGCATCGCGGCCCGACCAACTGTCGACCGAACGAGATAAGCGAGCGTTTGGAGAAATTATCTGTCGCGCTGTCCGGTGACGCCCGTAAAATATCCTCTCAACACCTTCGGTCCGTTCGGTGTTTTATTCTTTCTTCCCGTCGTCCCGGTGCGATTCCGGACTCCGCTCGTATGCTCAAGCTTTTGACGAAACAATCTCGGGGAAGCAGCAGCCGAAAGACAGAAGATCTTATAACTCGGTGCCCCCTTCGGACACAATCGTCTCTCTTCGGCTCAGAGCGGCGAGAAGCAGTTAGACACGCGTAACAGGTGATCGTAACCGTGATTATCAGCTGATCACTGATTTTATTGCGTACAGCGATCACCAGACTAACAAATCCATAAACATTCGGTGCTGAGAACTTCGAATCATACACTCGATCCACCCACGGGTCCACACGCTTGGTATGAAAACGCAGCGCTCGCTCAGGAGAGTTCGGGAATTTAATTTTTTTTTTTTTTCTAGAAGTCGTAAGAGGTGAGCACGCTTCGTGAAGGAGTCTTGAACTCCTCGGCAGGAATGACGATGGAAGGCTCATCCCCGAGTCATCAAAGCGAATCAGCTGGCCAGCTCCAACAGAACTGGGCAGTGGCGAATGTGGGGGGACAGGGAGTGAGCGGGGCCTACGAACCCAACGAGGACATGGATGTTTTCTTCCACTCGATCGAGGGTAATGCCGCATCATACTACACCACAGGAGCGGCTCGAGCAGCCATTCAGCAAGGATACCGCAACGCCGCCCACTGTAAGTTGGAGAAAGTTTCTTACGAGCTCGGTTGAAGTCGATACGTGAAAAAAAAATCGCCACATCAGGGGCATGCCGAATTCCCCGAAGTTCCCCTCGGGAGAATCCAGTTCCAGGAGTGCGCGTTAGAAATAAATGCGCCGGATGGAAATTTCATGAGCAAACATTGAGAATTCGGGAGGCGTAGACAAGCAGGCTGGCTGGTTGACCGGCCGGCAGGCAGGCAGGCAGGCAGGCCGGGAAGCAGCCAGGCGAGCTTCATTTTGCTTTGGTTGGTCCAGGAGCATGCCGTGTTAAAAGTTAGCCAGGCGTAGAATAACCGCCGGTATTATGTTGAGAAGCACAGAGGCTCCTGCAGAACGCGAGCGGTCGGCGTTCGGTGTCCCCTTTGAGGTCACGACGGAATTCAAAGTCAACTTAACGCTCAGAGAAGATCAACCTGAATTAATTGAGAGATCGTAGTCTTTTCATTCGGTCACTTATACATGAATTCATTCGAATCGAGCAGCTCTCCTTATGCAAGGCCGACATGTCCGTGTGGGATCACAACGACCGCGAACGATCGCAGTCTCTGAAAACAAATATTCGCAGAGCGCGACACGCTTCTTCTATCGGAGATCTCAGACGCGGTCGGAGTGTTGACGCGCCCGAGCTCCAACAAACAGATCGAGCGAGTGTACGCGAACGAACTTGACGGAGAGCGGAAAATCGTTTGGATTTCCATAGTATGCGTCTGACGCCAGTCTGTCTCGTTGTGGGTGGATCGGTCGGGCGGGCAGTCAGTCGCTGAGGCGGCTATTGTTTTCTCGTCCCCGTCTGATGCTAATGCCGACCGCAGAGTCTAAGTCGGGCAAGCAGGCAATCTAGAACGAATCCAGACTCGAGCGAGTCTGCCATCAGTCGATCGAGCCAGCCAGCCAGCGACGAGCTAATAGATCTCTTTTCCTCGCTCTTGTTTTCTTCAAGTCGCTCGCTGAGTCCGATCTGAATAATTCGCGCCACAGCGGATCTGATCTCTCAGATCTCTTCGCGACGCGTCAGAGATCCCTGGAGCGACAGTGCGGAGCAACGTCATAATTCGACAAGGTCATGGACCGGAGCGAGTCGAGCGATCGCACTGGTTTCGAAATCGGCCGAATTCCGTCGGGAAAATCCGGGGTACCCGGAGCGACCTATCAGGGACATTTAGAGGAAAAAATACCGCATCCCACATCGGGCCTGGCTCATGAGCCCTGTGGGCCCGCGGTGTCTTGGGTGCTCGCAACAAGCCCAACTAAAAGTGACCAAACCGAGTCCAGACGAGCCGCAAACTCGGCAAAAAGTAGCTATCGCCACATCACCAGTTGCTGAACTCCGCATTCGTCGCTGCTGCTGCTCATCGACGGCGGCCGGTGGTGGCTGCTCAATTGACTGACGGGCTGGCGATGGGAAAGCCTTCGCTGGCTGGCTCGCTCGCTGGTCCGTCAGTCCGTCCGCCCGCCCGCTCGGGCTAGAGTCAAATGCAGAACAGAAGCTTGCAGATGGGCACCGAACGAAAGGAACAACGAGTGAGCTCCTCGATGAGATAACTCGATTATGAAACATCGGATCCAGGAGGAGCAGATTCGCGGCCGCCAAGATTCGCGGCTGAGGGAAGCGCCCATTGCCACCCCATAGCTGAGTTTAAGCATCAACCCTTCGTTGATACAACCTGCTCGCTCGCTTGCTTGCTTGCGTGACTGCGAGCGTGCCCGCCTGGTGCTCACCAAAAACAAATCAGCCGAATTTCGATCATGTCTGTTCACGCTCTCTAAATAAATTTGCTATCGAGCCGCCTCCACTTTTGGAAGGCTTCGCACTCGAGAACGAGTATCCCCGGACTCTACCGAAAACCGCTCTGGGCGATATTCTCGGGTGAGGCCTCCAGCGGGACCTCGTTAGACCTTCGAGACGGCTTACCGTGGTCCTGCCTCGGCCGGGGCAGCTCTCGCTGGGGTGCGCGCCCAAAACAGAACAGCGACACCAACATAACAGCGATAGATAGCTCCAAGTGTTAAGTGGTCATGTTGTCGATCAGCTTCTGGATCACACACGAAGATCGTCTCTGGTGGCTCTCGCTCAAAGAGATGGTAGGCTAACTGGCCCGCCGGGCGGCCGACCGACAGGACTTGCCTCGGCCGGACAAACGGACGGACAGATCGTCTTCAACGTCCACTGAGGGAAGGAGCGCTGGGCGCTTCAGCGTCGACGCCAGCTTGATGATTAATCGCAAGTTTTGCCCGGCAAAATATGAAATTATGAAAGATTGCTGGCTGGCTCTTCTTCACCGCTTATAATACACTGTCGGACAAACGCCGGCGGACAAACCGACCGAGCAACCGACAGAGCAGCTAGCCGGCCGGCCGACTTAACAAGGGGCCACCCAGGCCTTCACGAACATCATCCTCAGCGTCGTCGACATCGTCCGTTCCTTCGGTTACCTCCGCCGTTCAACAGGCTTGCGGCGACGGCAGCCGATCTCCCAACAATGCCGATTTCTGCCTTCATCGTTCGTCCGTCTGTCCGTGCGTCTGCCGCTCCGTCTCGATCCCTTCGTGAGACGAGAAACTACTGCTGTTGCTGTCAACGAGTTGAGCCGATCGGATGCCCCGTACGGTGCTATCGATCGCAATGACATCATCCAGGTCGAGGGATTTCCCACGCTTTCTCCGGACAGAATTCGTCCGTTCTCCATTTCGAGATCCAATGCTAGAGATTCGGAGATTCGACGCAAGAGCTTTACGGTCCCGGGTACTTTCAGATCCGTTTGACCGGACATTATGAGCGTGCGGCGAGCACCCGAGCGGACAGTGCAATTCAGGCCATCGCAGTGGCGCTCAGGGTGGGTAGGAGCAAGGAATACGGAGGGGGGAACCGAGTACACATAAAGTGCTATCTTATCTCTGGCTCACTCTACGGCAATTACCCAAAAAGCCGCTTTGAATCCCGAGCGGACAAGTTTCGAATGCATTTCCGTTGGCTCGTCGCGGTTCCTGTGCGACGAGTTCTCAGAGAAGCGATTCCCGCCGCGTCTGCGACCATGGGGGAAACTTCACTCCGAGATTCCCTTTAGATATCAATCAATTCATCATGAATATTCGGGAATCGAACGAATTCGGTTACTCTCTACTGTATGAACTGCTCGTTCGAATATTCCGGAATGCAGGCTCAGATTACATCGGTCGCGTGTTAAGCCGCCAGTCTCTGAGAAGGTCTGAATTCTCCTCGAAGCGGAATCGATGACATGTCGCGCTTCTCCTGTCGTGCTTATCTCCGGATGATAAGTCCATGAAGCTTTTACGGCCCGGGAGCTTCTGTCGTTTTTTTTCTAACGGATGCGCTCACTTTCGAGTTTTGTGACGGAACGCTCCTTCCAGAAATCGTACATTCCCCGATCCTAGTCACTCGCGACTTGCGAGTTCTTGCACTTGGGAGATCTCTTCTCGCTGTGGGGGAGCTCCGATGCCTCCGGGGCGATTTTTCTGGGAGGAAAAGGCTCCACCGCGAGTCGGCCAAAAGCGCTCGTGCGCTCCGAGTGAATGTGATTCGCAAATTCACTATAAGTAATAGACCACTTGCAGCTCGTTCATTCGGTCGCGCTGTCTCGGTGGCGCGGGGTCCCGTTCCGCTCACTCAAAAAATAGGGCCGCAAACGTCTGGATGATGTCAGTTTCTGTCGAGATTGGTGACACGACCGCTCCGGAGTCGGAGCAACTGTTTTTTGTTCGACTTCAAACTAATTGGTTTTGACAAAGTCGAGGCCGGCTCGAAGAGAACAGGCCGGCGTGCAGGATACGGACAGAGGGACGAACAGACAGGCAGACTGACTGACGGAGTCAGTCAAGTCCACGGAAGGAAGAATGAGATTCCGTTATTCCGTTCTTTTTCTCATCAGACACTTGCGAGAGAATTTGATGTGGCGTTATGTTGAGCGTGCGCCAGTCCGGGACTGGAAAGATCCATCTAATCGCCTAATCTAGTTAGCCGTCGTGTGCGGCTGCAAAGCGAGCAGCAGCAGAATTCGAGGTGCTGCTCTGACTGCCGCTCCAGCTGCTCTCGTCGTGTGTGTGAGCGTGCGTGAGTCTCCTCTCGGACACTGACCACTCGGAACCAATAGGGCGATAAAATAAGTCGGAATTCGTCGAAAGTCCTAATTATTAGAGATGCGAAGTCGGGTCCACTGGAAGCTCTTTATGGTTATGGCGCTCGTTCGCCGCCCGAAGCGCCCTCAAACGTCTTCCCGAAAGCCTCAATTAGGCGATCCGATCGGACTGGATCGCCGATGTCTCAATTCCGCAGGAGAGCGAGGGAATACGTCGTCAGAACGTGGGTGATAGAATTGAATCATTCATTGCGGGAAAATGTCCGGTGCGGCTCATTGATATGCCTCTCTCGGGGAATTATTGAATATCACTCCACATTTCCACGGGAGTCTTCATTCGAGCCTCTTTTCGTTGACGGGGCGTATAATCTCATTCAGAATCGCATGCGAGATGGAAGGCTGAGGGAGGCGATACGGGAGAGGGTGATGAAGTTACGATTACGACTCACTCGATCCGGTGATCCGATGATGAAGACAAGCTCAAACAGACAGATAGACACTCTAGCTCTGGAGAAGAAACGATGCGGGTATCTTTCAATTTGGCGTTCATTCTGTTGATTTTTCTGTTAAACGAAGTGACGGTCAGACGGACAGGCATTGCCGCGCCGGGAGCAGGTAACATCCCCACGCCACCGGTTCCGGCCTTGGGTGCCCCACGTATGACAAATTGCTGCTAGTTACTGACGAACGAACGAACGAAGAAGCGAAAATGCGAGTGAGCGGCCAAGAGAGGCAGCGTCGAGCGCCCATCATGTTTAGGAGCCGATCTTCAGCATTTTCATCGGAGTAGTTCGCTCTGAAGTCAGCCAGTCAGCTAGCTATTAATGGCCTCTGGACCCAACCAGGCAGAAAATATGATTTTAAAAGATGTTATTACGAGAGAACCACCACGACGCCCCTCGCTCTAGACGTTGGGTGGCCTGGCTCATCGTCGTTGGCGTCGGCGTCGTACGTCATGTATCATCAACGTAGCCACGTATACACACTCGGACCAGGGATATTCAACGTGTGGATACCTTTCAACAATTTTCCTTTCACTCGAGCGAACGCCAGTCCGTGACCTGAGGGAGAGCGACGCGATTCCCAAGCCTGGTTGGGAAACCGCTATGGCGACTGAGGACGAAGATCCCCTGGGGAAGTCCTGAAATTGCGTGGAAGTCTCACTTCGAAATGGAACGTGATACCCTCGAATCGTGTTCTCGAGTTGTCGAAAACGAGGCAAGCCGGAGGTGGTTTCCGAGCTTTTGGTGTTGACAGCCATGACGGTGGTAAGCCTCGCGTCGAGTCGATAAATCGCTTGTTTGCGTGTCCGGATTGGAGCTGAGGTGAAAATTCGACGTTGTCGTGTTTACTGCGGCCGCCGTCGCTCGTCCGCAGTGGCTCGCTCACCGGAAAAAAAAATATATATGTTTCTTTGTGTTTGACATTCGTTGGAACGTCGACTTATCCTGTAATATCCGTGTTACACATTGTTTACATAGCGCGTAAGCTGGGGCGGCTCGCTCCATGAAAAGCAATGCAAAGCCGAGAACCATGCGCCCGGGAGATTTCCGAAGCTTCCTGTTTCCCGCAGTTTCCGACGCTATTTCTCTGTACCGGCTAGCCCGCATGGCGACGAGAGCCGAATTTGAATGGAATTTTTGTTTCTTTTTTTCTCCTATTTCAAAATAAAGAATCACCTGGAGTTCAGCATCCGAGTTCCCCGCAGCTGTCCCTCCGCCAGGGCTGAGCGCTGCTTGAAAAAATGAACGAATGAACGAACGCGCGGTTGAACGGTCGGGTGAAGCGACGGAGGAATGGCTCCAGGGAAGGGTGTCCTGAGAGTGTGCTCCAGCGTCAAAACACTAATTACACCCTCAGCTATCTGGCGCACTCTCGGATATCGATTTCCGATCCACCAGATCCGCCGGCTCGCTCCCCACAATGCCCGTCGTACGAGGAGGCGGCCACTCACTCGTCGGTGTTCATGTGGACGGATTCGGAACAGGTGAGACTTTGGGGACGCCGATCCACAAGGTCAAGTGGCTTGATCCACGGCCGAATCCGGTCCAGATACTGCGGACTTCCACATCATCGAGCGAGGCTCGACCTCGAAGCGCTGGGGCTCTTCCACCGGGTCCGGCGGGGTGCTCCGGTGCGAAATTTGATGAAAGCATAAAAGCCGAGAATATAAAGGGAAGACGAGCGAATCAATGTATAGGATGCAGAGAGACGCCATTCGGCCACTGAGGTAATATATTTTATACCGTTTTATGAAGTTGTCGTGGGGCCGCGGCTATCACGACATACGACGGACGGATCGACCTTCTTCAAGCTAACTGAACAGCCGGACGGACGGCCGGCCGGTCGGTCGGGCGACCGGATAGTCGAAAATGATGAGATGCGATGGGACCAGCGCAATGGCCGCCGCATCCAATGCTTTCGATACGTCTCTCCACACCCGAAATCGGCGACTGACGTCGACTCTGGAACTGGAGCCACCGATGGTGCTGTTAGCAAATTTGCTGCCGAGCGTTTTCGGACGAATTCGTCTCGGCGTGAGATTCGGGGCTCGGATCGTCGACCATGAGTGGGGGAGACTGTTTCCGAAGCCTCGGGTGACGGTTCTGAACGACGATAGCGTTCCGATAACGCGGCCGATTAGGAAGGGAACGATCCGAAACAATGACCACCTTTCCATTTGTATGTCGAGCGATGGCTCGATTGGTCGGTTGTTGGCCGGGTTTTCCACGGTTTCTCTCCATTTGCCGTTTTGGGACGGCGTCTTCCACCGTCGGAATTGCTCCTGGTGGAACGATGCTTTCTTGAGTGTCCTTCGCATCTCGGGCATTTTTGTAATATTTTGTATTTTTGGGTTGCCTCTATCCTACCTTCCGTAGCGAGAGCACGGCGAACAGGCGGCAGGCAAGCTAGCTAGACAGCAAGCCAGTCAGTCAGTCAAGGGAGAATTAAGCCATTACTTTTATGTTCCTCTTCTGCTGCTATGTAAGATATATTACCTCGCTTCTCCGGCTTACCGGCGTCACTTGACGTCGGCCACGGCGGCGGCGGCGGCAGCAGCACCACGGGCACAGCAAGAGCTTGTTGATAGTGTGTACATGCATACATGGCATGGGCACGTACCATTCAACGCTCACCACTTGGGGAACGAAGTAGACGAGCTCCGAAAAGCCGGCAGCCTGCACAACGGAGCGTATGCTCATAAGCACGCATAGATCGACAGAAGTCTCCAATGGGACGTCCATTCTATCGGGGGCGTGTAGTCCGAGATCGACTCAGAAAGAGAAGAGACATATCCGAGACTCGATATAGTGTACGTCCGAAACAATAATGGTGCATATTGGCTCAGGCGATAAGTTCCAAGCGAACGGGCATGACAATATTAGGCACGAAGCATTGGATACGAGCTCGGCATGGTCTCCGAGTAGACTGAATCAGGCTGGAAGGCAGAACAAATTCGACAAGGACCATCAATTCTTCGTTGAATGACTGTGACTTCCCGGGGAAGAAGAACCGTCCTCGAATCTGGAAAAGCTGTTCTCTGGGAAATGATGAGCAATGCAGCATCGATTCGTTCAGATTCGTCCCCGGAGGAGCGAGAGGAAATGTGGGAAAACACCGAGAAGGAAATTTTTCGAATCGGCTCGTTCTCTAGAAAGCTGGAATTGAAGTTCGTCTGTGAGATGTCCATTGGACTCAGATTGCCGCAGCGTGGTTTCCTCGGATTTGTTCGCTCATTTCAGAATCGTCTTCCCACGGTTTCGCCTTGACTCTTCACGCAGGTTCCCTCCTCTAATCCAGCGGAAAAACGCCGCTAATGATTTAATCGCTCATAAGAACTCCTGATAGGAGCTGCTTCCCGTGTCCTCGAGATATGCCTATGCTAGAGCCGGCGTTGGCGTCGGTGGTGTTGACCAGGATGAAGTGATTGAAAGGTCTCTTCGTTCCTCCTATTCTGTGCTTTGGCGCGTCGAATTTAATGAATACCTCAGCGGGAATTTATTGGTTCTGGGTGTTCACGATCTGTCTGGCGTGTTGGGTTCCTCGGACACGGCGTTCGAGGCCCTTGACGTAGTACCGTGGTCGCCGCCGCCATCGTCGCCGACATCCCCGCTGGTGCTGTTGTTGTCGTTGTCGTCGTCGACGTCCTCGTTGCCTTCGGTTGGCTTCAGCAACTTCAACAACAGCAAAACATCTCACTACATTTAGGCCATTTAGGTGGATTTATGGCGCTCTTAATGTGCCTTCTGTAATGTAATATCCTCTCAACTCAATGTCTCTATCCGGCGGCCGGCCGAACGCAGCACCAGCGAACGGACCGTGCGGACGAGCGGATGGACCGGCCTCCCGCCTCCAGTTGGAGTCGAGCAGCCGACAAAAATCAAACTTGAGCACCTTAACACAAAATACAACGATCTCCTATTTGTTAGGCATGATTGCTCCCCTCAAAATGACCGACAACATTGTTGTTGTTGAGCGGGCTCGTGTCCGAAAGCTTCGTTTGGAGCTCATGGCTGCCTTTAATATTACACCAGCGATTTGTTCGTCCACTGACGCCAGTATCGGCGCTCCGGGATGTTCTCGCAGTGCTCATAAATCGAGGGATCCTCAACCATGCTTGCTGATTGAGCCTGACAAGGGTCAGCTCGGAGGCTTCGATAAATACGTCTGGACCAGTGATTTTCACCTCTGGACTTACAATTGAGATTCGAGGTCCGAAATATGTGTTTCCCAGAAAGCGACGTACTAGAGACGCAGTAGAGTGATACGGGAGACGACTCGCTGTACATTGGGTCGCCGCGGGTAAAGGAAGCCATCGAGTCGTGGGAATTCCCCTTCCAATGCCCCACTTTGCTCGGATCGGGAACTTTCGAGAATCGTGAGGATAACGCGGGAGATTTTGAGCAAAGAACGGAGAATCCCTACGGAATTGTCTCGGGCGGTTTGTTATCGTTTTTGACGACGTCACCGGCGGCGACTTGGCAATGTCAGCGGTGGCGGCTGCGATGATGCTGAGGAGTCGGAGTGAGTACTTTGGTTGCTCGCTTGCCCGCTCGCCGCGTTCGCTCGAGCAATTACCGCGCTATTACTCTAACATTGAGTGAGACATTCGGTTTTATTTATTATTATTGTTATGGACTGACTGAAACGAACTGCACCAGCAAGTCAACCAGCCGACCAACCAACCAGTCGTGGTGGTGGTGGTGGCGGCAGCGGCAGCAGCAACGACAGTACGTACGCGAAATGTCTTCAGCAGCAGCGAAACAGCAGCTTCGGACAGTTGCCATCCGAAAAAGATGAAGTTATTATATCAGAGTCAGTCAGTCAGTGAGTGAGTGAGTGTAGCGCATAACTGCTTTTCTGTCTTCGTTGCTCCGGAGAGACCAGAAAGGCCGCGTCCAAGACACGAGAGGAGCGACGCAGCGGCAACGAGGGCAAGAGCGCAAGGCGCCGGTCAATGCCGTAGAATATTCTCTGATTATTTATTTTTATTGCCAAGCGCTTGATCACCCTCTCGGTGCTCCACGTTCGATCGAAGCTCATGTCCGAGCTCTCTGGCGCGTTCCTGCAGCCGCCTTCGGTCGGATGTCGACCGGGATGATTGAAGGGCAACACCTCATGCCCCGGGCAGAGGACACCCCATGGAAGAAGCGAATAGAATATTCTGCGGATTCACCCATCGAAGGATTCAAGGGTACGCCGAGAGAATCCCTGGATCACTTGGGTTTTTCCTCCGGAGACAGGAGAACCGATCCTCCCACGGTTCCTAAAAGATGTCGCACTTTTCGTCCCGACGCGCGCAATGTCTCAATAAGACTTGTGAATTGTTTCATCGTTGTCAGCTTGTGACTGATTGAGTGCTCCCTCCGTCGGCAAGTGTTCGTATGATACGATGTGTGTGTGAGTAAAAGCTACGCGCATGTTAACGTTGATCGAATGTTCGCTGTTGACGTTCCGCGGAGCTGCCGCCGTCCTCTGTAGGTGGTCCGGCGCAAATGATGACAGATCACTGTGGCATAATGGGGGCTCGACCGGCTGTCTTGCTCACTCACCCGCCCGCTCGCTCGCCGTCCTTCCCGGCAGGTCTGGGCGCTTGTCAAGGTGTTTACGCGCCTCCAGCTCCCCATTCCATCTTTCATCCGTTTATTCCGCCTGTTCGCTCGTCTCCTCCTTCTGATGTTGCTCCTCGACGGCGAGCCGGCGAATAAGATCAGCAATTTTTCAACCTCGTCCTTGCGAGAGCTCCAGCTGCGGCTAAAATGAAGCAAAACTCTGCATAAACCGCGGAACCTCAGCCCGAGTCGGCAGACCGAATTCCGGAAGGTCCTCCCGAGGTTAATTATTCACCTCATAGAGACACTTTCCGTATCTACCTAGTGTTTCCTTGAAAGTCTCGGAAAGATCCGGAGCCGCCGGGGAGAGGGCTCGCTAGTCTGAAACTCGAGCGAACGAGAACGAAGAATTAAAACACGAGAACTCTCGCTCTGCTAATGAAGACCGAAGATGAATGAAAACCGCTGGTCATCGCATCTTCTGGACGTGGTTCCGTGGTTTTTCATGCATTTGTTGTTTGCTCCAACTCGCTACAGCAAGCTCAAACGCTTGGTTTTCCCCTCGTGCTCACGCACCCGAACGCGTATGTACAAGCGCGTTACCAACCAAAGTCATTAGTGAATATTCGTTTTGAGAAGAGATGATTAATAAGGGGGGCGATAACTCTCTAAATGAACAGCGGTGCTCTTTGACTCCGGGCGGCGGCCGCCGCACACTTTCAGTTTCACTACTCCCACTTGCTCAGTCTTCGGATTCCGAGCGCTCACGGCAGAGTGTCGAGTGGCTCACCGAGATTCCTGAAATAGATCCGATCGCGATCCTCCTTGAATCGTGATTTATTGACGATTGTTCTTTTTTTTTTCTTTGCAGCACGGAATAACATGGTGCGGCCACACTTCCCCACACACGTCCCTTGGATACCGGATCCATCGGGAAAACCGTTGTCGTACGCTCACGGCTCATCGTGGTTTCCTTCAGTGAACGGATCGAAGCCTCCACACTCTCCGCCGAGCGCGGGGTCGGCACCGTCTTCGCAGTCGTCACATTCTAGTCCTCACCTGTTCACATTTCCACCGACACCACCGAAAGACGCGACGCCCGACCCCTCGGCAACGGCACTTCCCGCCGACTACGCTTCGTCGTCGAGTCTCATCGACGACGTGAAAACATCCTCGTTCAAACAGCGGAATGAAGGTTCGTTTTTTGCCCATTCCTACTACCAGAACGCGTCGCCCTACCCGACCAGCGGCGAGATCAGCAGTTACCACTCTGGCTACCACCAGACGTTGTTGAACTCTGTCAAGTCGATGCATCAGTACACTTCGGGATACGGCAGTCCGACGTCGAAACCCAAGAATAAGACGCGATCCAGCGCCGGTAAGCCATTCTACTGAACTTGTCTCACCTCTCACCTATCACTAACACTCTGGCTTTCTCTTCACTTGCACGCTTTCGTACAGGACGCACCACCGATTCGCGTTCGACACCGGGAAGTTCAGGACTGTGCAGTCCGCCTGTTGGCGTCGTCGGAACTGGGCCGGTGTCGGCCGAAAGTGCGGTGTTGTCTTTTCCGCTGGAACAAGGCTCCTACTTCTGGGGTGGACCCTCAGGTCCGGGGGCACAACGATCAGAGGTTTCATCGTTCGGAGGTAAAACTTCACACCGGCACGGAGTATGCCGGTCTGCATCGGAAAACTCGTTTTTGTTTCCGTTGATTGTCCTCTCTTTTGGTCATCTCCGCATCCTCCCGAACCGAATCCATACGAATCAGATCCTCATGCAAAGGTCATGACAACGCGAATTGAGGATCGAATCGAGATCGGGACGATTGTCTTTCTCGTAGAGAGAGCCCGGTCCTCGTCTCGGTTATCCCTCTGGAATCCGGTACGAGGAGAACCTCCCGGATTCCAGAAAACTTTTCTTTCCGGACCGGTGTCCGACCCGATTGTTTGTGTTTTGTTCCGTGTGGTCATTCCCTTCGTTCGATATGGTTTCATTCCATACCGTAGTCGTAGTGGTCGACTTTCCCAGTATCGACGATATTTCAGTCGAGTGACACGAGACAGGAAAATATTTCTCTTTTCCCGCGAACCATTCCTCATTCGAAGCCTTTTACGAGACAAAACACTAGTTTGTTTTGAGAGTCGAAATTCGTCTCCGGCAAATCCGAAAAGCGACTCGCGGCTCCGTGGGTTGAGGGGCGTAGCCGATTTACCGAGGCTTCGATGATTTTTTTCTTTATATTTCTCCTCTTCTATACACGCTTGATGGATACACAAAGTCGTGGCGGTTTTGTTTTTGGCGGAATCTTTGTGTTCCGCGGCTGTTACAGTTTGAATGCGTTGTTCTCATATTTACGGCGGCGGCGGCGGCGGTGACCTGGCGAAGTATAGATTTATACGCCGGCAGACGAGGCATGCGAATCTCGCCCATCGCCTTCGACACCACAACAAAACGGAAAAGGAGAAACAAAAAAAAACTTGAATGGCCCGTCGAAACCTTAAACAACGCGAGTCGGAACGCGGCCGAACGGCCTGCCTGCCTGCCGCTCCGTCGGCGACACAACAATACGGGGAGGAACGCAATTAAGAGAAAACCTGGCTTTTGTTAATCGAGCGCCCAACCACTTGAGGGGGCACCCAGTATGTTTACTTGAAAATTCGTCCTGAGAAAGAAGTAACAGCAAAGGGAACATTCGCGGGCCGCCGTCGCCACCAGCGGTATTCCGATGTCGCGATGAGAAGTTGATCATCGCTCGCTGCCGGAACCCGCGCGAACAAGACCCGCCGGAGGAGCTTGTCAAGACATCGCTGTTACTAGCGAACAGATTAATGTCTGAAGCTCTTCTTCGTCGTCTCCTCTCAAAGAGCTGGAAAAACCCAAGAAACCCGAGATCGCAACCGAAACAAACGATTTCATTGTGCGCTCGTTCGTAGAACGCGCTAGGTACATCTACCGACCGGCTAGAGTTCCGGAAACGACGACATATTTTTCCATTCGCAAGCAAGCATCACCGAGCTTTCTGCATTGCGTGTACGAGCACCGAACGCTTCACTTCGCAACGAGCGCCCACCGCAAGCTAGAGATCGACGCTTTGAGAAATCCGTTCAACTTCCGGGCCGTTCTCCAGCAGCGGTCCTCTCCTCTATCTCTCGACTCACACTCACCCGACTCACTGTCACTGTTTTCCTCTCGTTCGCTTCTTCTGTGGAACACTCTCGAAAGAGTTTTTGTCGTCGGAGACGACCGGTATAATCGACGGCTTTGTTTGAGCAAATGTTTTGCTAAGGAGAAAAGTTTCTTCTCCCCGACTGACAATGTTGTCTTCCCACTCTCTATTCCCCGTATCCCTCTCTCTCGGGGTCAGTGCATGAAACCTACCTACCTTCTCGAGTTCCACTCATTTGTTACCCTATCAGAAAATGTTCAGTTACAAGGAGACGCGCGTCCAGTGCGTACCTGTGGACGATGACGACAATTCTAACCTTTCTTTTTGAACGCAGAGGGCAGAGAGTGCGTGAATTGCGGTGCAACGTCAACCCCGCTATGGCGGCGCGACGGTACAGGACACTATCTATGCAACGCATGCGGTCTCTACCACAAGATGAACGGTCAAAACCGACCCCTAATCAAGCCCAAGCGAAGACTGGTCAGCGTAAGTACATTTGAGCTTGTTTTTCCACCGTCTCTCAGACGCCGTCACGATGTTCGACGTCGATTTCCCGACGCAATCATCTTATTATAGCTGATTATATTTATCGATCGACACGGCCTCGTGCAGTGCTCGTGTTTATGCACAATGCATTCTGTTAAGAGCCGTGTTCATCATCTCATCTCACGTAGCGCGCAACGTGACCACATTACAAGCGGCCGGAATAGAGGATCATTATAAATTTAAAGCGAGTTGCTGTAGCCGTCGTTTCTCCCCTCTTTTGCTACTGGTCTCGGGCGCTGTGACTCTTTTCGCCGGCCGGCTGGTTGGTTGGCTGCCTGCCTGGCGGACAGGCAGCCCGCCCGCTTGCCTGTTCGCTCGCGCGGTACTCAGTGAGCTGGGCTTTGCTCGAATCATACAGGCGCGGGTTCAGCAGCAGAGCGGGTCTGCTGAGTACAAATTGTCAGATCATAAACTTAAACGATCCTGAATTTATTTGAGAGATGTCTGTGATCATCCGCCTTCCGGAGTGAAGACCCACAGCAGATGAGCGTCCGAGTCGCTCGAGAACTAGGTATTCGATTCGAGCAGTGAATGCGTCGGCAAATAGGCGTTTGGTTGTTACATGAATGTGAAACCGACAGAGAGGAAGAATATTCGACGGATGCCCGCGAATCCGACCTCCTCCCTCTCCTTCTCGTGCAATATTCGCGGAGTCTGCAGCGATCGATGAATCATACATTTCTTTGATCCTACGAAAAACGCGGATTGTCCTAGTTGAATACGAATCGAATCCTCGTCGTAGATGGACACGCGCCGGATCGGTAACGGTGTCGGCTCGATGAGCGTGAGCCTGTCTATAAATTCCAAGCGGGGAAAAAGCGAGAAACTACAGGGGGAGATGCGCGGCGGACGGGAGGTTATTAAAATTTTAGAGCCCGGGTTCGGTCCCCGGAAGATGTGCGGGCCGAGCTACCTCGGGGAGAGAATCGTAGAGAGCAACATTGTCTCTTCGTCGAGACTTCCTGGATAGATGATCTCCGGGAGCCCTCTCGCTCAAAACTAGGAAGCTAAAGATTGGAAAGATCGTCCATCTAACGAGTTTTTTTCATTATTTCAGCAATCGGCAGCTCGTCGAGCTGGTACCTCTTGTGCCAACTGCAAGACCACGACTACAACTCTATGGCGACGAAATCACAACGGCGAGCCCGTTTGCAACGCTTGCGGACTCTACTACAAGCTGCACAACGTGAGTTCTAGCACTCTCCATTCAAAAGCTATCTTACTTTAGGAAATCCACGAAGAGTTCCGGCCGATCCGAGCCCTCTGGGTTGGAGGGAGATCTTCTCCCGGGCCCAAGGCCGCAAGCGGAAGTACTGAGTGAGAATAGGGTCGGCCACGGGTCGGCAGCCCAGACGAGATAATTGTGGCAGGGCAAGGAGTTCGGGGCAGTATTCTCGCAGTTGCTAGCTCCCCGAGCCCCGCGCCGTCACATGGAATTCCCTCCGTAGTATTCCCCGATCCGAACCCGCGGCCGCCGCCACTGTCATAGCTCGCCCGCTCTCTCAGTCAGTCAGTTAGTCGGACAAGTGGAGCACTGCGGCCGAAAACCTGTGTGATTAGTCCACTCCATCATCATCGTTGTCTCCATCACGATCATCATCGTCGTCGTTGCCGGCATCAACAGTCGGTGATCACTCGTGAAGGTGACGTGGTCCCTGGTGGAACTGAATGAGACATTATGTTGTCCAGAGCCGCCGCTGTTGGTGCTCAAGCCCTGAATCAGATGTTACCCTGGCGTGTGCCATTCTTCTGTGGCGAAGATTTCGAGGATAACGTTGACTAAAAGGTGTTCTGGGTCGCTGGCGCCGAACCCCTGTAGGGCGACAACAAGTTCTTCAAGACGGCATGCTCTGAGCGTGATTTACGTCGACGTCATCTGAGTGCTTTACAACCTGAGGGGTAATACCTTGTTGCGAAAACATATGTTCATGATGTTCTCGTCGTGGTCGCGATCGTCGTCATCCTCGTTTTCCGATAGCTTGGGTTCTTCGTTCGTTCGTCCGTCCGTCCGTCCCAAACGCCGTAAATTAAGAGACGGATGTCAACCGTAGACGACTTTTCGGTCTCTCGGAAATCACAGCGATCCACCGTCCGTCCGTCCGTCTCGGCTCTGGATGAGACGAGGATGGAGTTATTGCTCGTCCGAGAAATTCCGCGATCCTAAAACTCAGAGCCCGGATCCCGACTCGGATTCGGCTCGAGCCCCGAGGAGACCGTGATTCGATGGAGTGGGCTTCTCCTTGTCGGAAAGCGGCGTGACCTCCGTGAGATTCCCATGGGTTTTAAGAGCCCACCGCCGAGGGCGCACGCCCGGGGATGGGGAAAGAAGGCGCTGAGGGAAACTTCGACGACGGCGTTTGCAACAAACATATGAGGAACACTGGTCGCCTTATGACTGACTAAAGAGCGAGGTATCCGCTGACTATGAGGTAACCCTGTGAGAGCGCAGCGGGCCCAATTAGAAACACTGAAGTAGCGAACGGAGACAGTCGCGTCGCCTCGCAGCGGGACAAATGTCTCCTGCAGCGCGACTTTATTAGATCAAGTCGAAGTCAAACATTTGGTTAGGGCCATGAGCCGGCCGGCCAGCCAGCCAGTCGATCGACCTCGACGTCAGTGAGTCCCCCAAGAAACGAGGAAGGAAGCGACAAACTGTCTCGTCAACAGAAGGCTTCATGCCGATTTTCCGTCTTGCCGAAATCGTCGCCGAGAAGTCGCCGAACTAGCGACCGAGTGAACTATGCGAAACAAACGGGCGATCGAGCGACCGTCCAAGTGAGCGAGTGAACGAACCAACCGAGTGCCTATGTGTGAAATTCCCAGCCTCCCGTCGGAGCGGCCACCATGAATAATTCTCCGCTTAATTTACATCGACTCTGCCCTGGCGGTGCCGATTCGTTCGTTCGTTCATTCATTCGTTCAACCACTCTGTATAATGGTCGTCGCAGCACTTCTACACACACTCGAACTCGACGATGTTTACTCTCGAACTATTTGTCCAGGCCCCTGCGTCACACTCCGACGCCACCCCGGTTCGATATTGACAATTAGCTCGGCTTCCCTGATTTTTCTCCTCGGCATGATATTCAGTCATAAAATCTTCTGCCGTCGAAAAGGAATTTTTATTCCTCGGGGAAATATATTTTTATTCGTCGGAGACTCTCCCGAATCCTGTGGATCCTAACGCACCCGTTCTCTCTCGATTTCCAGGTGAATAGACCGCTCACGATGAAGAAGGAAGGTATCCAGACCCGGAACCGAAAATTGAGTTCGAAAACCAAGAAGAAGAAGTCGCCCGGCTCGGTCATATCGCTACCCGATTGCCTGAAGCCGCTGAGTGACAAGTCGTTCCCGAGCTTCTCGCCGGCAGGCCAGTTTTCCATGGGCATGAACCATTACATGGGCCACCAAGGAGCCCAGTTCCCCGTGTCGATGGGCAACTCGTTCGTTTCGTCCAGTCCGATAACTCAACACATGGCGTCGACGGCATCGCTGAGCTCGCAGATCAGTCAGAGCATCTCGTCAAGCATCTCCGGAGCGCAGAACGCCGCCCTCAACTTGGGCTCGAGTGCTGGCTCGGCTCTCAACTCGATGGTGGGCGCTGGATCGGCAGCACTCAATTCCATGGTGGGCGCAATGGCATGAGGCTTCGAAGGCAGAAGGCCACACTGCAAGTCGGAATAGTGAGATGACGTCGGATGAGCCACGCATTGGAAACTGATCTCGCGAAGGCGCCCACCCGACACCCCCTCCCCCATATAATGTACAGAATGGTATTTCGTCGTGCTTAGTTGACGAACGTCGTTTGACGAGAATTCGACGCGTTATTCTGTGTGAGGTGCAGCACCACGAACCGATTGGGACGGTTCGAACCGACGCGCTGTGGCCGCGTCGGCCCTCGGGACGCATCTCGCGTTCCCCGTCGCCGCCGTCTCAAGAAGATCAGCCGAAGCAGCAGCAGTACCACTACCACCGGATGGATTTGCGGTTCTTGCGGCCGCAAGCGGTGGTCAGAGGATCGTCGACCCGGCCCACCTTCGCCGCGGTCGACACTTACAGAAATTCACTTGAGAAGTGTCGTGGGCAATCCTCGTATTTCAAATGATTGAATCCCATGAATGTTCCTAATCCATGGATTCGTGCAACGTCATTGCGAGGGCCGCGGACCTCCGTCGAAGTGAAGCTCCACGTGCAATAGTGCCGGCTACGGAGCACGGATGGCTCGAGCACGTCACGGAATTCAAAAAACAGATCGACCGACCGCCCGTCCGTCCGCCCACCTGCTCCCCGCGCTCCCGAGCGGTCCTTCGAGCTCCCGGTCGGAGAGATCCCTGCGTGAACCTTCGCGCGACAGAGAGAGTCCCAACTCGGACGAGCGAATGTGAGCGGGACCGGGAAAACAGGGGACGGGCCTCGACGCCAGGAGCAGTACGTCCAGTGCAGCGTCGTTGACTCGCACCAACTCTGAATAAGGGAATGGTTTCAAGTTCAAGTCAGCGCTGCGTTCGTAGTCGGCTCGGATGAGACTCGATTGCCGGTGTTACTGCTGCTTCTGTGATGGTTGCCGGAGTCACATTGAGAACAGACATTAAACGGCAGGTGTAAAGAAGATGAAGGAGGTGTAGCAGGTCAGAGAGAAACTACAGCTATAGAGGAAACAAGAGCTAGGGAGGCACCCAAACGTTGTTTGTAAATGTTGTAAATTTCAACTCATACATAGCATGGCAGTGGTTCACCGAAAGCCGCCGTCTCATCTTCATCATCATGACCCACCTCAACTCCACTACGAGCATGAATGCTGATAACGTCGTCGTCGTCATTTTCGAGTGCAACGGTTTGCCGAGAATTTACGGAATGTAATTGACGCGGACGAGAAGCGATATTAAGAGACGTCGAAAGAAAGCTAGTTTATTTGTAAATGTATTGATCGACGACATCCGTTGGGCCGGAAGAGCCCATGTCCTGTGTACTATAAGTTAAATAGGTAGGTTGACATTCATAAGAAAATACAAAACGACGGGCGGAGAACGAATATATGCAGGAGATGGAGACGATAGCCTCGACAACTATAAAAAGAAGAAATAACCCACCCCATTATTGCAACTCCATCAACCAATGTCCTAGGAATCATTAGAAACGCTTTCGAGAGGATCGCTCTCAACAACTACTTTGGAAGGAGGAGAGAAAGTATCGTATTTCGAATGCAACAAAAGTCATTCGTCACGTGAGCAAGCAAATATAAGGGAATAGACAAAGCTCCGCGAGGGATTTGAATGTTTCCCATCCGCTGGGACTTTGTGACGCTTGGCATGGTTGCTAGCGCGAAAAGTTCGGAGCGTCCGGGCAAATTCAAGAACCTAAATCAGGCGGCTGGAAGAACGTGACGGGACATCCGAAAGCCCAATTGGAAATCTCGAGATCTCTCTCGAAGACGGGAAGCAGCGGCGGATAGTAAAAAGAGACCAGCGTTTCTTATTTTACCGTTGTGAGATAATTACCAAATAAGTGAGCGAGAGCCGACCTCGAACCGATATGTTATAGGGAGAACCGTTTCAGCGACGCGGAGATGAGCGTAAGGAGATTATTCCCAAACTATTCAAATCACCCACAGAGCAAATTCAATTATACTTCGGAAAATGGAAGTAAAAAATAAAGATGACGTGAGTTTAAATGAAAAAGTGAACAACGTGTCTACTCGTTTCCTACCACTATCCCTTATGGAGGAGTTCCCATGGCGGCCGTATAAGCGAATTTGCTCGAAAGTTCGCGTTTCCTGAGCCGAGACAGTCCGCATGGTATGGTGGAGCCACTCGATGAGTGCCCAATCTAGAACGTAATGATAGAGAGATTCCCGACGCCTTGGATCAGTTCAGGAGCGTCTAGCAGAAGAGGTAGAATTCGAAACTCGAAATCCTCGCTGACGATACCGTCTCTCAATGTCTGGATAAGACCCCGTCCTTCTATGAGAGACTGTCGGTCGCCTCCTCCTCTACCGGGAATCGAATCTCTCACGAGGAGGAGCTCCCAAATCCCGGCACTACAAAAGATGATCTCTCTTCGTCCCCTGAACGTTTCTATCGGAGTTTCTGATCCACTCCGATGACCCCCAACGTTGAAGTCCTTTATGCACTCCTCGTTTTGTTGAGCGAGCCGAACCTGATCGGATGACAGGGATCCGTGTCCTTGCGGGAGGTTTTTCTTACAACTTATCTTAGATCAGCACTTTCATCAGCGCGTTTCAACGGTTCCTCCGCACATGTCACGGAGCCGTCAAACTGATGCTCTTCTTTGTTTTCTGTTCGGAGGGTCTCGGCCTCTGGGGTCTTAGCATCCCATCGATCCCGTGCGAAACCTTGAATCTAATTCGCATGGGTGCTTTCTTCGAAAAAGTGAAAAGTTCATCGCTGACTCGTGCCAGAATCGCGCAGAGGTTCATCGACTTGACTTCGTGTTGCTAACGAATCAATTCGGAGAATGGAAGCGATCAAACGATTCGAGAGTCAGCTTCAGCTCGGTGATCTTTGACTCAGGGCGCTGTCGGCTGAATTGAGCGCTCTTCATGACCACTCTAATCGTAGACCATGCCCCCGCGGTGGCAGCAAGAGCAATGCACAGCGATCGCGGGGTGTGGTGTAAGTATCCTCTCTGCTGGTAGCGCCCTCGGCGGCAACAAAAGGAAAAATGAACGTTCACGAAAATGGCGCCATTTTCGACGCCGGACAAGCGTTATCATCGTTTTTACGCTCGGACCCGACCGCAATACCTGGAATGCTCTGGAGTCCATCGAATGATTCCGCGATGCTCGAAGGCCCTCAACGAGGTCCGAGGCCTCCGATGGGTCCCGGTGGAGAGTCAGGAACTCCGAGCAGGAGGGGAGCGCACCGGTAGGGGCTCGTGACTTGAGTCCACGATGACGTCATAATTGCTATAGAGTTCTCAAGGGGCTTGAACTCTTCTAGGAGGATCCTCATGGACCATTCAATTCACTTCTAGAGCGTACATTGCGGACGCGACGAGACAGGGTGCAGGAACGAATCGATACGTTTCGGTGCTCGAGTGTATTTCCCCTCCTTGCGAAATTACATGTGACAGTGTATAATTTAGACGGCTGCTCGACGGGCGAACCGACTCGCCGGTGGATGACTGCTAGAAAGGTTGGCCAAGCTGGCTAGCATCCCAATATTTATCCATTGCCCTAATGGTGTCTATCACGGATGACCGCCGTGTCGTTTCATTGATTGAATCCATTCGCTAATGCGAATATCTTTCAAATGTGCCCTGTCCTTCTCGGCTCGTTGTTGTTGTTCCGCGGCTGCCGGAGTCTTCAGGCGTCCGTCGTGGACGTCGCCGATGTTCTTGCTCTTCGTTGATGCTCCGAACTCGACTAAGTATCGGCTATCTATCGACTGGTAGCTCAGTCGGCTCGGAGCGTTCTGACTAGCTCTCCGGAGTGTTCTGCAGCTGGCAATGGCGTGACGAGGCGCCAAGCATCGCGTTTGCGACGGCATGTGACAACAGATGCCGTAGCCAGGGTGCTCGTTCGGTCGTCTACGATACTCATGCATTATGCACGAAGTTGTGCAATATCCCACCCCTGTCCGACAGCGTTCACTTCTGATATGAGTACATGCCTACGTTAGAAAGAATAAGCTCGTCTGTTCGAATACTCCTCGGGGCACTCCTGATTAGGTACTTTCATCCCGATCGTCGCCACAGAAATCGAATGTCTCATTGTCTTCTCGCTCATTTGAGGGCATCTATCCGATGTGACTGCCCATCGTCCGAGATTCGTAGGTCGCCTGTCATTCCGTTTACCGTGGGCAGCATCGAGAACTTCCGTCCCCGCTAGTGGGCCTCAGGCCTGGAAACGAAGTGCTGACTTGGCTCCCATCAGATTCTACACCGAGGTCCCAGCGGTCATCCCTGGGGTAAAGCTCGCTCTCTCTCGTGCAGAGCACACCGTTTTCTATCGTTACTCACGCCCCGGTCCTATTTTTCATCGTTATTCTCCAAGTTTCGAATCGATACTCTTCGTTGTAGGAGGTGCATGACATGTCGAACGAGCATTGTGGCACCAGACATGCTTGCTCAGCGTGGAAATCGAAGAAAAAGTCGACACTTCGCGTTTCATCATCGATATTCCTCGTGGACTAAGTCGGATCAGACTTGAAGGGAATTCTGAGATGCTTACATTGCGTCATGTTCACTATGGATTTTGTTCTGCTTGAAGAACACGCTTCCGTGACAGACTGATTCATCCCGTTCGTCTTTCTGTCTCGTTCTTCGTGTGGGGATATTTCGAAAGCATTTCATTTCAAGTATTCGCTCATGAGATTTGTCGTTGATTACGTGACACCGCTGTTCTGGCCTAGTTCAGCCACTCTTCGACGGCGCTCTCGCTCTGAGACGAAGAAGATACATGTTCATCTGTCGACGATTTATTCCTGAGTAATAAATTCGATGCTGTATTGAGACGCGTGGTACAGCACGCGTGGTTCGGCTGAGAAGCATCGGAGTCAGCGTTCGGAGATCTTCCAGCAGGATCGCTATCCTCAAAGAGCAACGTCTCGGCATCGGATCCGACCGACGGACAAGCGGAATAGACACGGATTGAACCACAGACAGGAAAGACGAGCAGAATATAA